TGGAATTGTTAATAATAGTTATTTAAGTAAACTGTAAATAATTTAGCAATACTTTTGAATTATTACTGTTATTTATAATTTTTTTTTCATTAAAAATAATTTCCTCAAGTTTTACATGAATTTAAAACGGTTTTCTATTTATTGTCCGCCAAAAAAATAAATATTTTTTGTTGAAACTTAATAATTTATTTAACAGCTTCAAAATAATAATTTAAGTAAAGTATATGGAAAATAGTTGTATCTGTTATATTCTAAAATCGAGCATCATGGTGGATCCAAATTCATATTTTATAACGAATTTATAAAAGGATTTCACACTTAATTTTGGTTTTAGTAATTATCTGCTAATTATCAACATTATTTGTGAAAGACAGCTAAACTGGACGTTCTACGAATTCTTGTCTTCATCAAACCCGCGATGACGCGAAGCACATGTGGTTTTCTACTACCCAAAGCGTGAAGAAAAGTATACTTCATACCGTGGTTGAACCAGAAGAAGAAGAAAAAGGTAGTATTATTATTAATTTAATAAAACATATCATAATACATTTTATTTGTTGTTTATTTTTTGGTGTAGCATTCTATGTTTAAATAAAACAAGTAAACAATATGTTCTAATACGTAAATATTGTGTGTGATATAGTTTTTATAGTACTGTCTACCTTAAATTATTAGTTTTTATTAGTTTAAATTTTGTTTTACCTTTGTGTGCACGTGATGTACAACCATCAATTACTGAATTATCTAGAAGGATAATAAGTTAAACAACATTACATAGTGTAGAAAAATAATAATTGCTTTTATGAACTCAATTATATAGCGTACGAGTTAATTGCAATCATACTATCATATTGCCATGAATAAGGTACACAATTTTATCAAATAATTTTGTACGTAATTGTACGCGTTAAGTTCGCGCACAATTTGAACTTATATAGGATGTTATAACCTCTTACACTGACACGCGAGCGTGCATGCGCACGCATACCCGTATAAAACTCGATACATATGAATAATACAATAAATCCATTCGACGTTTTGACCTCATGCAAATATTTTTAAAAACGCGTTTTATAAAAACGTGCAATTAACGAAGAAACACACCTACGATTTAGTTCATCATCATAATATATATGTCATATTGTGTTTTGCGACGGGCAATTTCGAATTATAAATTACAATTTTTTTTTACTCGAAGCCCGAAACTCTTTCACTGCGCGTACGCATTAAGTTAATGTAAATTGTAACCCGAATTTTACTTGTCTGCGATATACACGAATTTGCGATTCAGACGATTCTGTTCACTACTGCATAATATTATATTTACAAGCGCGTGATGAATTATTTTTTTAAAACAGACAAACACGTAGAAATATTGTAACTTAATCAAATCACGTAACTTTCTTCCGACTTTTAAGTTTACTTGTCACGACGTTTTAAAGACGCGTTGCCACCATCCCATAATATTATTATTATTTATTATAATGATATAATGTATATATTATGATGTGCTGTATTAAATTATATAATTATATTTTGTATACGTACTTAATCCAATTTTATTTGAAATTCAAAGGTGGTAAGGGACTGGTCTGATGACTTAAAAGTTTATACCTACCATCCACCATTATATTGATAATAATATGCTTCTCGTAAATCAACGCTTCTGTTATTTCACGACAATTTCTGATTTTCCTCTATGGACTATGATAATAGTATAATTATTATTGTTATTATTATTATTATACCGTTGTCAGTTGAGAATGTTATTACCATAAAATATTGGCCGCACTCTTCAAGTGATGTATCGACCTAGGTGAACGATGTTATTGATTTTATCGATATATATAATAATTACCGGTGTGCGGTGCATGACGTTTCAAACAATTCCGTTATCATGAAAAATTTGATATTATCCAACGAGTTGAGACTTGTTTGACGCTCCTATTTCCGGAAATAGTTGACCTTTGCATCGATATCCAGATATATTCAATGTAGAGTTATTCAGGCGTTTCGAAGTGACGATATAAGATATAATCCTCTAATTATTTATTATTTAACAGAATAATATTGCTGAACTCAAGTGGTTCTAATAATATTTCTGCTTCTAGTGAGAAATTTGTACAACTCTTTGTGGTAATGCTGAATAACGCTTATAAATTACTAAACCTGATATAGGTTAACATGATACAATATAATTCATGTATCCTCGTCGTTTCTTATTCAATAGAGAACACTATCTACATAATTCAATCAGGTTAGATACAAACGGACACAACGTTAATTTGTATGAAACGAATCAGCCTGCTTCATATATAACACTTGTTAATTATAATAACAATAAAATTTTAAGTTATTTATTTAAAAAAAAAAGTATAATTATTGTCACAATAGGTGTAGTAACCAGAGTCGTAATTAAGATCAATCATAAAATAGTTCGCAGGTATTTTACGGTTATAAAAGCACAAAATCAAAATAATAAAGTACCATCAACCACGAATTAAATATTATAAATCGTTGGAATACTTGGGCGGTAACAGTGCCTTGTCATAGTATCACGTTGATGTGAAAATGATTATAAATAATAATCACATATTATATCGGGAACGCTTGGTATTTTTAGGTGGTCATCATTTGCAATCCATACATCGACTATACTATTATAGATATTTCAAATATACAGCTATATGAACAGTGAAATGAGAGAATTTTAATCGACATTCTCTTGTAAAAAACGAGACATAAGACTTGAGTTTTATTTTATTTTAAATTAAATAATTAAAAAAAATGTAAAAAAAAAATGTAATTGACTAATCACTAATTTTTAACTATGTATTAATTTATTTATTGTTATACTCATATCTCGAACAACTGCTAAATTAAAAGTAATAACTTACTCCTAACTTTGATGCAATAAAATATTTTGAAAATTAATAAACTCGAGGTATCTGGAATATGAAAGTGTACGATATTGCCACATAGTCTTTCAATTATACATAATACTGTTATTTATAACTATCACAAATACATGGTAACCACTGCGAAAACACCATAATCATTTACTTATTATTAAAGAGAGATTTTCGATGTCTGGTGTAAATATGTATCTAAATCTTTTTTTGGCACACTGTTCAAAAAAAAAATAACAATATTTTATTACTTAGCATAGCCACGTGATGGTTTTAATTTGACTTTTTTATTATTAGTACGAGTATAATAGTTGATATCATATGGCGACAAACTATCAGATACATAAGCGAAAACAAGCTTACATTCATAGTGCTGGAGTGCGGAAAAAGTGAATTTATTCAACCTGGAAGTTCCGTAGTGATCGTTTTGTATTTCGCCTTTACATTAACTCATAAATATTCGTTTAAATCTATAATGTTTTATTTCGTCGGGGCGTTTTGATGTAATTTCCGACCACAGCAAAAAAACGTATAAATCTAATTAACGAGGAGAAACAGGTTTCCATGAGTTTGCAATTCAAAATGCCCTCGGAATAATAATTTTATCATCGACGCCACTCCATATATTATTAAATTAGTACGTGAAAACTTTATTTTTAGACCGAGAGGGAGACAAGAGCATTATGTGCGTTTCTTCTTAAATAAATGTTCCACGTACACAACGGAAAAAACAGCTAGAGCTATTGTCATCGCGTTGTATTGCTCGCTGTAGATTTTTCTAAGTTCATTTTTCTAAACACAAAATCGCATAGCGATTTATAAATGTGGCCACTTTTGAACTATTCCGTTTGCTCTACTTTCCACTTTATTTTGTTCATTAAATCCATCACTGCCACTTTCGGTGAAGTAGGATATTAACTTTCGAAAAACTTTGTATGTAATAAAAACAATATAGCAATAATAATATAATATGTTATATGTATATTTTTTGTCGATAGTTTATGATAAACAAAATAACCTACAATGGTTCACGAATTTATTTTACCATAATAATCTTACCTACAACATTGTGTATAATAATTTTCCTTACCATATGTATGGCCTATAGATAAGCAATATGCCGTGATAAATTTGTATTTCCTTTAAAGTAAAACACATTTTTTATTGTCTATTCTAAAATATTATCTTGTTAAATATATATATATATATATATTTTTTTTTTAAGTACATCGATAATTCATTTATCCCGAAGTCAAAATTTACATGGTACGAGTATATTCAACTTGCATATTGAGCAAAATATCAATAGTAAATATTTAAATATCACTCGCGTAAAATAATACTTTTAATTTAATAAAACGAATCAAAATCCTTATTACTTATAATACATTAAATAAATCTCCGATTTATGTATTTAAATTATATTCCCTGTAGTTATATATAAAAACACAATAACAGTTTTTTGAAATTAAATAAATCTAAAAATGGCATCATTAATTATTCAGTACTTTTCATTTATAGATTTAATTAGCTCAATGCCAACGCTCCAAATCATCTAAAAAAAAAAAGCAGAGAAGTGTGATGGGTGTGTTAAATTTGAATTCAGTGATATATCATTGTATACGAAAAACGATTCTCAACGGAGACAGTTTGTCAGCCTATATAACATAGTATATTTCATATGTTTTTTTTTTTTTTTATAGCTATTAAAGTCATTTATTTTACTTTTAGTATTATGGTAAGCTGATAGATTTTTTTTCCAAAAAAATTGGATTTTTATTTTATTATTAGTGCAATAGTGCTTAATTATTATAATAATATATATTTTTTTCCCCGTTTTAAACCGACAGCAGAGAAGGATATGTGTGAATAATACTACTCCTCTGCTGCCATCATTTATTAATGTTTAATAAAAACACTAATACATATACATACTTAACACATAAATAATTATGGTTGGTTCATCTTAAAAATAAAAATATTAATACAATAAATACATTACGATACGATACAATACAATACAATACAGTACAATAAATAACTAAAGTCCGTCAGTATTCGCGGTCCGTTGTCGAGTGCATCTCTGTGTGCTCAGTCAATTGGAGTGGCTGCCAATGCATTCGCTCTTCGTTCGGTCTCGGCTATCATTTCATCATACTCCTTACAGCTTAAAATGTTGTCAACCATATTGTAAAATGACTGGGTGGTGCGTTGGGAGGCAGCCTGTAGCCAGCCGTTCTCGCTGGACGGGACATCAGAGGGGCCGCACAATAAATTCTGAACGTCACCCGGGGTCAAATTTCGGTTACCAACAAACATCTTCACTGGTAGCCGAAGCGAATCCCAGTAAGGACAATTGAAGATCGTGTGTTTCGCAGTGTCCTCCGGGTGTTGGCAGTACAGGCAAGCCGCATCATGGACGCGCTTCATCGGGTGCAGGTGTACCTGAAACACCCGTGTCCCGTAAGAGCCTGCGTTACATGGAACGTGAGGCTTTGGAACACTTTCTCATCCATCTTAGCAGGTCCGGAAGAATCGTGTGCGTCCAGGCTCCTCTAATGCCACGACTCCACCTGTTCGACCAGGCATCAAGCAGGATGTCTCGCTCTGCTCTCCGGATCTCATCCTTTGAGTCAGTTCTATCCGGGTCGTTAAGTTTACTTCGGATATTAAATCAAATTATATAAATTTAAATTTAAAAACATATTTCTGTAAATACCACAAACTATAAATAGATTCATACTATAAATAAATAAAACAAAAATGTCAATGAGTTTAACAAAATTCATAAGAATATAATAAACGTAAAATTAATTAAAAAAAAATAATTAACATCGTTATTTTTAGTTTAAATAAATAATTTCGTTTAAATATAAATTTAAAATGTCAATAAAAAATAATTGTCTGTAAATTTTTTTTTAGATTTTATGGTTGCCTATGAGGAATTATTTTTATTTATAAATTTATCACTAAAAAGCACTTTTAGCTTATAATTTTTGTCATTTTAAATAAATGTTGTAAAATATTGAATTTTAAATGAACATAAAAAAATTTACCCATATATTTTTAATAATTTTACGCATATACAAGAAAATTGTGTGATGTGAAATATTATTTTAAATGTTCAAAAATTTTAACTTGAATATTTTTTTGAAATTTATAAAAAAAACAAATAAAAAATTTCTTATGCCTATAAATAGCTAAAAAATAATCAAAATATTTTAAAAATTATACTATCTAAAAAAATGATATTATGTTGTTAACCTTTTATATTTTAACTTTTTATTAATATTATTAATTTCATCATTATTTTTTATACTAATTTATCTATTAACAAATGAAAAAAAAATGCTAAAATTAACTGCAATTTATTAATAATACAATTCTAAAATAATAGGCTTAATATCATCAAATATATTATTAATGTTGTGTTTAACCATACCTTTCAATATTAATTGATTATTAAAAGTTAATGTTTTTATAATTATATAAAAAACTGAACGTGTCTCGTAGTAATACGCAATCTAAATAAAATCTATCTTTACCATCATCACTTTTATTGTTACCTAAAGCCAATGAGAAAAAAAAATCCAAAATCTTCGTCTCTTCAAACATTTATACCGCGCCTCTGAGAACCAGCTTTATTAACTGAAGTCTTCAGCCATCCTCCGTTTCTAGTTCCACCTACTATTCAAGGTGAAGTTGTAGTCGACTCAATATCTCCGATTGAACTGTCTCCAAATTAATATTCTCTGAAGTCACATTCAAAATTTATTAAAAATATTTCCAACTTAAAGGGTTTAAAAAGTGACCTTATACTTTTCATAATCTCCTCGTGATGTTTCTTGGGTTATGCTAATAGGCTGAATATTTTACTAGATTTTGAATAAAATATTTAATGACCCGGGAATCAACTAATACATAAGAAAGGTCTCGGGAATCAACTCCCCTATTGCGGATAAAATAGGTTCACCCTATCTTCATAAAAAAATTCCTAAAAATTACAACTCCGAACTGTAAACATGCAAATTCTGAATTATTTAAAAGAGACTGAGTTATTTTTCCAAGCATTTATATTGCGTTTTACACGTCTAATTGTAATGATCATTCACTAACTTCATCATTCCACTCCTATAGAAAATATTGAAACGCCATTAACCGAACTGAGTTTTTCCGTTCTTAATGTTGGTAATATTATTTATAGGACCAACAACTAGACGTTGTCACTTTTAACTAACATCGAACTTACTTAATAAGAGCTTTTTAAGTTGACAAAACTACTGCATTTTAAAGTAATTATCAAAAAACCTTGACCAAGAAAAGCTCGTCTTCACACACAATTCTATCGATACCAGTCATATAGGCACACGTTGAGATATTGTTTACATACACTTCTTTGCGTCAAATTTGGCCAGGATCATTTCATTATTGGTTGGATTTAGTAACGTAAATTACCGGAAAAGTGTGTTCTATATGTGCCGGAACACATACCGTCAATTTTTAAGGCTGTCCGTCGTACAAACATTTCGAATTCGGTATCTCACAATAAGAAACTATCAACCGGTTTAAACAAAAACCAAATTTATAAATCAGCTCCAAGAGTTCTTTAAAATAAGGTTTAAGAAGTTAATGCTCAAACTCGAACTATATCCTATTCTGAAGCTGTTACTACTGAAAATTCTCCTCTATAAATCGTCTCAACTATGATATATTTTATTGATCAACTGATTTTATTTTTTTAATCGAGGTTTTTTATAAACATTAACCTCTATAGTTGTTAATGCGAGTACATATTCAATTTATTATCCAATTATTATTCATTTTACTACTATCAAATATTAGTATTTATACTTTCTATCATGTAAGATATTTATAAGCTACTATGTAATATTATCCGCTTACAATATGTTTATTTTATTGAATTATCGAGCTATAATAGTTTAGTAGTATAAAATATATAATTTAAAAAAATAAATACCTACCTTTTTATTATAAAAATATAGTAAATCGTTGTACGACTATTATATAGAAACTCTAGCAGACTAGAATGCTCGTTTATACATTTAAAATTTCTCATTTCTAGTTGATAATTTAAATAATCAACTTTAGATTCATCACTATATATATTTTAACATTAATTCAATTTTTAATAAGTTATGATTTCATACATAATATTCTGTCTTTCAAATTCCAATCACATACGTATGAATACAAACTATGTTACCGCGAGAAAATTGACCATGCCGACTATCAACTTTTCATATTATAAAATTAAATTATGAAATACATTCATTGTTGAAATCAATAACAAATATGAAATATGAAAATGTTTTAAATAATAGGTATGTGTATAAAAAGGATTTTTACGAACTAGTTTTCTTTGGATTGAAATAAATAACAATCTTATGATACTCAATACTATAATATTTTATGGTGTTCGTCCGTATACTCGTATATACGGATATATATTTATACATATTTATATCGATACTATACTTTATACAAACATACATTTGTTTTTTATGCATTAACGTTTAGTATTTTGGCCTGACATGCTGTATCCGCCATTGATAACTGTTTTTTTCGTTTTGTAATGGAAAATGGTGTAACGTAGAGGTGTGTTACTTATGCAATTTATATAATTTAGAGAGTGGCCGATAAGTTTAATAAGACTATAAAACTTATTATCAACATGACATAACACCTCGTGTGCTATAAATAATGTATAGTATACAATAGGGTGACCATTTTAAGAAAATAAAAAACAGGATACTTGTTACTCTCCTCCTCCACAAAAAAAACCTTTCCACCAAAAAAATTATGTACATTTACACATGCACAAAATTGTAGAGTGTGAAATTCCAAATCTGTGTCAAATCATAAACAATTGTTTTCTTATTATTTTACCCTTTTTAAATTAACTAACCTAACCAACATAATAAAAGTGTTCAAATGCTTAGGAAGATATTACTTTTATTATCATTAAATGTTGCATTCAAAACCTAACACATTTTTCTTTAACAAGAATAAAGAAAATTACATCGTCAGCTATTTTCATTTTTTACTTTTTACTCTTTTTTCATACTTTTCTGAAAAACTTATTGAATTTAATAATTTTGGGTGCTTTAAAAGAAATTCATTAAATTGTGAAGTTTAATTTTTAAAGTACTTTTCGCAATAATTATACATTTAATAGTTTCGATATAAATAATGGTTTTTTTTTCATTTGTTTATAATACATTTATTATAAACAATATTCTTTCTGCAGATGCATTTTTTCCAGGAATACTCAATAATTTAAAAGAAAAAATTTGTTGAGAAGTTGTTAACGGAAATGCAATTTGTTTTTAGCGTTTTAAAAAAAAATCACACTATTTTTCTGCCTCTTGCTTATCGCTAATTTAATTGCTCATCAAAATCAATTCTCGATCCTCGTTCCTCGAAAACTGTTATCTACTATTTATAACTTTGGTCATAAAATTGTTTTAGATTTGTTTCATACATTGATTTATTTTTAAGATAAAATTTAATAATATAAAAAAATGGGAAAAACAGGGCCATTCTCAAAACGGGATAAAAAAACTTTCGTTTGAAGTCAGTCACGACTGCGGGATATGATGATTCAAAAACGGAAAATCCCTTTATAAACGGGACGTCTAATCATTCAAGCATACAAGCCTATCGGTCCTTGAGTAAAATATCTTTTTTTGTACATCTATAAACATTTAATATTTTTATGATCATTTTTAAATTTGTCTAAATAAAAATTGTCATTAAATTATTATCTGTGTTTTTGTATCCAAATTATGTTAACACTTATAATGAATTGCATATGTAAAAGCTCATTTATACATAATATCACATGTCTATTACATCAATAAAAGTTATGTTATGTGTATTTATACGACGTTCAAGACAAGTACATTATTTTGAATACCTGAAAATAGATGATTGAATATGAATATATCAAAATTATAGACATTTAAACATATTATGTGTAATACGAATGTAAAAAGTATACAGTGTTGCGGCAACAGTTAAAACACAATAATACAGAATTTATTATAATAAACAAATTATATGTACAAAAATGAAATATACCGGGCGTTTATGTGATTCGTCCGTGTACAATTATAATTCTTAAGTCTGCTACATAATATAAGTGTGGCCGAATAGTGTTATTTGAAAACGTCCCACAATTCATTGCAAAATTAAAACATTAAAAAAACATGTCATCCAATAAACAATATTGCTACATTTAAATATATTATTATGATATGTTAATTAAATATTTTATATAAATACTAACTGAATTAATCATAAACTACTTACCTTAATTTATTCATGTTAATTTCCACTGATCTTCGAAAATTTTTAATCAGGAAATTGATCACTTATTAGAAACTTATTTTAAATTTTTAAACAGTTTT